GGAGCGAGAAACCGAGAGAGGTAGAGATAGAGAAACAGAAAGAGAGAGACACACACAGAGAGAGCGAGAGAGTTACCAAAAAATTCCGAATTCAATAGCAACTCAATTTTCAGCTAAATGCTAATCAGGCCCCCCTCACCGCGTTATATTTGAAAACTTATCAGTTAATTAGGTGTGAATTTGCGGGTTCGACGAATCTCACACGTTCAAATTCGACATGCCGACTCCAAGCTGGTCGTTCTGATAACGGCGGCCGAATTCTCTTGGCTAATAACCGCCATTGGGTGCCCGCTCTCTATCCCTCCCTCTCTCTTTCTCGATATCTCTCACACTCTCCCCCTCTCTTTGCCCCCCGAAATGGTGAGCTGGCTTCGAAATTGGCGCCGTTCCCCTAACCGCCCCTCATTTGTTAGGTGAACAAAAGTTGTGGGGGAGCTGTGGGTAAAATTATATGAATTAAGTCGTTGCCCAACAAGCTATCGCTTGCACTTTTTCTTGCTCTCACTCTCTCTCACTCTCTCTCTCTCTCTCTCTCTCTTGCTTTGATAATAATGATGACCAGTTGTGCAAATTTTAGCAAGCAATCTGGTGAAAAAGTTAGAAAATTAGAGCGAGAGAGAGAGAGAGAGAGAGAAAGCGAGAGAGCGAGAGAGCGAGATAGAGAGAGACGAGAGGAAGTGAGAGAGAGAAAAAGAGAGAAAGAGAGTGAGAATAGAGAGAGAGCGAGAGATCGAGAGAAAGTGAGTGAGAGAGAAAGAGAAAGCGAGTGAGGTACAGGGAGAGAGGGGAGGAGAGAGAGAGTGAGAGAGAGAGAGGGAGAGAGAGAGAGAGAGGGAGAGAGAGCGAAAAATTACCTAAGTGGTCGCTGTAGTTTTTGGCGTTATTACTGAAACTGAATATATCGGCTTTAACCCCCTTTTATTGAGGCAATATGATCTTTATCGATACACCACAAATTCCGCACAGGATTAATGCCTTATCGCTCAGAAAACTTCCCTTTTTTGGCGTAGCGAGTTCTGCGAAATCGGGCTACGCAATTCTTTCGGTACTCCGGAACACGTGGTGTAAATAGGCTTTTAAGGAAAAGAGCCCGGTTAAAGGAGCCGGGAAGCAAGAATTTCCCGGTAAATTAGGTATAACTTTTCTGTTTTAGGTAAAATCGTTCTAAAAATTTTACCATAGATGGAAAACGGCAAAATCTATCCTTCTCAAAATTTGGACCCAAAATGTTTCAAATTCAGAAAGTTATATTTATTTTAAGGTACTTACCATTAAACTTCCTAAAAATTCGATTGTGCGTTTAAATTTAAAGTCACTATACATATGTCGTATCAGTTTTTAGCAAGTCTTTTTACTCCGAGCATCAGGACCAAAAAGCAAAAAATTTGGCGCGTGCGGGGATCGAACCCGGGTTGTTTTCCTGAGAAACGAGAGTTTAACCATTTAGCCAAACGTGCCAAACTGGGTCAAACTTTAGAAAAGCAAAAACTTATGACATTTCTTTTCTATATTTAGGCCCAAAATTTGAACGTCGGCAGTACCACAAAACGCCATGGAAACAGGTTAAATTAAACTGCAAACGATCAGAAGCTCCTGCGTTTAAATAAGCCCTTTCCGGAACAGGATTTGACCTACTAAAGAGGTTGTCCCTTGTATTAACAAACAAAGAAACCTATATCCTGTTTTCCCTCAATAGTGTCTCTGCTTATCATAAAACTATCAATCCACCCTCACCCGGATATTCCCCCAATCAAATTATGAGCTTTTGTCTCCGAGGGCCCGGCGGCTATTTACTAATCACTATTTTTGGCAGGAGCCGGCAGTCCAGTGCATTTTGTTTTTAGCGTGTCCGGCCCGTTATCAGTGTGTCTCTGTCGCTCTCTGTCTATCTATCTCTCTCTCTCTCTCTCTCTCTCTCTCTCTCTCTCGCTAGCCTCAACTGTCAGGCCGTTCTGAATTGGGCCCGATCTTTGAAAGAGCCCCTGGAAAATAGCGGACCGGTGTGGATCGAAGATCGACGAGAGAAAGGGAAGAAGAAAGCGAGAGTGAGAGAGAGAGATATGCTTAGGCTTAGCTTACGCGTAGGCTTATGCTAAATCTTGGGCTTATTTTTGACTCATGGTTAGGCTTCACTTGGGCCTAGGTTTGGGCTTAGGCTTGCGCTTAGGAGGAGGCTTAGGCGTAGGCTTCACTTAGGCTTGCTTGGGTTCATGCTTATGCTTAGGCATAAGCTTAAGATGAGGCCTAGGCTTGGGCTTCGCTTAGGCTCAGATTTAACTTGCGCACCGGCTTGGCGTGAGGCTTCGGTGTAGGCTTAGGCTTGGGAGTGGGCTTATAGTTGGGCTTCACTTGCACTTTGGCTTGGGTTTAGGTTTTTGCATAGGCTTCAGCTGAGGGAGGCTTCTGGCTTAGCTTGGGTTCAGGTTAGGCTTAGGTTTTGGCTTAGTTTTGGCTTAGGCTTCGGCTTGGGCTTAGGTTTAGCCTCAGGTGTTTGCCCAGGTTTTTATGTTTTCTTCATGTCTTCCTCAAGCCGATTGCCCAACCCAACTCAGCCACTTGTAAATATTATGTCGCCAGCAAGCTAGGGACTACGAAGCGCTCCTCTGTACCGGGGGTACTGCGACGCCATTGGAATGTGCGGCCCCAAAAAGGGGAAGGCTCGAACGGGGGGTGATTACGGGGATTATGGAATTATATCCCCCCCGGCGGGATTGGTGGTGTTGGCCGTGTCGAATTCTGTGAACCGTTTTGGGGGGTGGCTGCAATCAACCACAGATGCTGTATGCCTAATTTTTCGTGCCTTATCTCTCCCTCTCTCCCTCTCTCTCTCTCGCTCGCTCTCTCTCTCTCTCCCGCGCCAGTTCCCAAAACATTCGTATGCATTCCAGTGAGTTGAAAGAGCGACTACACGCCATATTTGGCATCAAGGGCCAGGGGAAAATGATTACCCCGAGAACACCGGCATTTTAAAGGAGTCGTGAAGGTAGAAATCCACCGTAAAATCCAATAATTTTGCGGAACGCGGTGTTCAAATCGCCTATAGTAAAAATCGTTTTCTCTCTTTTTCTCTCTCTCACTCTCTCGTTCTCTCTCACCCGCGCTCTCTCTTGCACTCTCTCTCACTCTCTCTCTATCTCTCTCGTTCTCCCTCTCTCTCTCTTTTCGCTTTCTCTCGCTCTCTCTCGCTCTCTCTCGCTCTCTCTCTCTCTATCTCGCTCCCTCTCTCTCCTCTATTCTACTCGGCTTTGTGATTTTCAGGAACAATTTTTTGATTCACATAATTTGCGAATATTTCCCCCTTTAATCAACCACAATGAGATATGGGTCTCGTCTCTTCCGGGGAGACTCACGTTTTCCAACAGTTTCTTATCTTTCTGACTTCCACGAACTGGCTGGCATTCCAGGGCCTGGGATGAGAGCATGAATGGAGGGAAACTACATAACATAGCTTGGGTTTGGCTTCGGTTTAGGCTTAGGCTTAGGATTAGGCTTCGGCTTAGATTTAGGCTTGGACCTAAGCCTAAATCCTTTTGTGGCGTCGCCGGGCAGTAAATCTCATTAAGTACCATGTAAATTTTGGGTGTGGCTGATAACGCTTTCACTTATGGCTATGGTCTATTTTGAGACCCTTGCCACCCACCTGATCTTTACAAGCCATGGCCTAGCGGTCAGAAATGACAACAAAATTCAGGGGTTTTCTGGAATTCTCAGAATTTAAAGAAAAGGTATGAGGTCAGAAAGAATAGAAAAAATAGAAAAAAACTGCTTCAACTGGCGAAAAGGATCGAGTGAGAGAGAGACAATGAGAGAGAGCTAGCAGGAGCGAGAGTGAGAGATGGAGAGAGGGGGGAGTGAAAATTACAGATACCTACCCACTCCCGGTTAGCACAAGATGTTCCTTGATCATTGGAACACGATTCAGACCCAGATTCCTAATGTCAATTTCAGCGGTGATAGGTGTCTATCGGAGTCGAGAGGTCTCACTCTGTCCCGAGGATCGCTTTTCACAGCGAATCCAAAACCATCCACGGGACGATCAGTCAGATGTCGTTCCACTCGAGATTCGTCGGAAGAGGATGGGTTTTCCCCAGCATCAAATTGCTTACGACATATAATTGAAATTTTTGGGCATCCAGAGCTAATAATTATAAAGTACCGTTATTGTAGAATTTAGCTTCGGGAATATCGAAAATATTTGAAAACTAATTTTGTAATTTTAACACGTAATTTTAACCTACTAAACAATACATAAATTTCAGCTACTATCCGCGCTCTAATGACCCTGAAAGGTCAAAACGCTCCGGCGGTTTCTCCAGGAGCTTTTCCCCACCTTTTCGGGCGTTGTAACAAACAGGAAGACACGAAGGAGGATACCCCACTCTCAAATGTTGCCAATGCCATCCATTCCCCCTCTCTACGCTGATGGTTATGCTAAGCACGGGTGAAATGAGAGTGGCAAGAGGAAGGGAGCGGAATCAAGGAGGGGGAAGGGGAATGGCAATCTATATGGTAGATAGAGCTGTGATTGCCCTTCCCTTCCATGGCTTCTCATCCTTCTACCCCCTCTCTTCCTTTTTCGCCACCATCCTGTTCCATCCATATACAACATACACCCCATCACAGTCCCCCTGGCTAGTTCGCAACGAGTAGTGCCGCGGAATCGAGCCTCCGATTACTTACTCCCAGTTCTAAGGTTGATCTCCTAGTTTTGAAACGGTTTTACAAGCCCTACTTTTACTATTTTTAATATTTACAGTCTACCGTACTACGAAATAGCTGGTAATGTTTTTAAGGGAAACTAAGGCTTACCCTTTCATCATCCCTTTAATTTGGAGCAAGCTAGCAAAGATTATTGATGAATTGAGGGCAGGCTAGCAGAGATTATTGAGCCTTGAAGCTGATTCTCGTTTTTCAGTTTCTAGGTTTCGAATTTGACTCTTTTTACTATTTTTGTTACCTTAATTACCACCCTAATAACTGATATATCTGTTTTTAAAGGAATGCTGCAGCCAAGGTCGGCCCGACTCACTTGGCTTGGGATTGGATTTTTCCTAGCTACTACTCTGGCCATCCCGATCCCGAATGGACAGATCGGTAAGCTTAAGCCTCGTTTATGCTATTTTTTAGGACACGGATCCCCGCGAAAAATCTACTTTTTCCACAAAATTTGCAAAAAATGACTAAAACCCAAAACCAAGTTGGGCAGGCATGCAGAAATCATTTCGGGATTTCTGCCAGAAGTAGACCAAAATTAAAGCGTCCTTTTAGGAAAAGCCGAGGTGGAATGCGGCGAGGATTTCATCGAGGTCGTTTTCCTCACTGACGATGACTTCCAGGTGTACAGTACTGACCTAATTACACCATTTATTTTAGGGCCGAATTTTTGTCGTCGGGCATTCAAATGAGTCGGACTGTGTGTCGAGGGAAAAGGTTGTTCTTTACGCTTCATCTATTTTACAAGAAATGCAGATCCATCCGCGGAGCCCTCATATTATTATTGACAAGAATAAATGCGGTGTGGTCACGACGAGATCAGCAAGTTTTTTTTGAGGAATACTTTAGATCCATTAGTTAGATATTTTATAGAAAAATAGCGTTTTGCTAGTTTTTTATTTTTTTTAACGAAGTTGCATATTTCAGAGCGACCCGGCCGGCCTATTTGTCACCACGAAAATTATGCTCTCCTTCCACGATGAATTTATTACAAAAGTCGATCGGGTAAGGAATCGGGGGAGGGGGAAAACTTGGCTTGCAGACCGTGGTTGTCGTATGAAAAATATGCTTTTTTGAGGGCTACGAGATCAGCTGCTTCTACATGGAGGCCGACAAAACGGTCACCTATCCGATTACCGTATCCGGCGCGGTGGGTTGTTGACTGGAAGAAATTTTAAGGGGCTATGAAGCCACTTAAGGCGCGTGTCTGCCGATAGCACGAAACGCGCCAAAGCTTGCGTTTTTTGGCGTGTCGGGTAGAGCGCGACGGCCAAAAGATAGTGGATAGGAATCCAGCCACTTCCGCTTCCGATTAAGCCACTCTTTTTACAGACAAGAGTTGGCTACGGAAAATTATTCTCTGGATTTTCCGCTTCCTCTTTTTCATTGCGTAATGGACTAATTTTTGTGTTTAGAGTCTATCGCCGTTCACAGAAATTGCCGAGATGCCGCGATGTCGATATGAGGTAACGAAAAATTCGCTTAAATTTAATGAGCTACCAGGTCGTCGATCCAAAAACGAAAGAAGCGCTGGATGTGGTTACTGTGGGAAGCAAGTTGCTCCATTCTTGGACGTGCGAATCGACAGCTCCCGGTAAGAAAACGTTCTCTCTCTCACTCTCTCTCGCTCTCTCTCTCTAGTTCTCTCTCTCACGCTCTCTCTCCCTCTCTCTCCCTCTCTCTTTCTCTCTCTCTTTCTTCCTCTCTCTCCCTCTCTCTTTCTCTCTCTCTTTCTCTATCTCTCTCTCTCTATCTCTCTCTCTCGTCTTCCTCTCATAAATACAAACTTTCAGATCTCTGGTGCATGCAAGTACATACGTGCTTTGTCGAGGACGGCTCCGGAACGCAATTCCAGATTTTGGACGAAACTGGGTCCGATTTAACCATCACTTGATTCGAAAAGTTGCCCCATTTATTGTACCCCAAAATTCAGCTGCTCCATCGATCGATATTTGCTAGACAATCTCGAGTACGGCCCCGGGAAGCTGCATGCCCAGAAGGAGGCGCACGCATTCAAATTTGCCGACAAGGTACGAGGCACTACATTTTACGTCTTACCAGGCTATAAACTGCAAGCTACAAACTACAAGTTACCTTTTTCAGGTCGTCGTGAATTTCCAGTGCTCGGTGAGGTTGTCGATTAACGATGGGGAATGCCCGGTAAATTTGGCGAATGGGAGAGTTTATTTCTTTAGATCCCCGAATGCTCCGACCTGGCGAAGGAGGGCAAGAAGAAGAGGAGCTTCAAGTAATTTGCGCTTAATGAATTACGATGCGATACGCGGGTCTCCTGTATTCAAATTTCAGGAAAATCAAGCGTCACACGATTTTGCAAGACGATGGGGCGAGGGAGATCGATGTGAGAGCACAGCATATCGACGTGTTGGACCCGCAAATTGGTGAGAAAGCTTGGTGTCATGGTGCCTTTAACTGAGGGCAGACTAGCAGAGATCATTGAGGAAGCAAGAGGGCAGGCTAGCAGAGATTCTTTGAGGAAGCGAGAGGGCAGGCTAGCAGAGATCATTGAGGAAGCGAGAGGGCAGGCTAGCAGAGATCATTGAGGAAGCGCGAGGGCAGGCTAGCAGAGACCATTGAGGAAGCGCGAGGGCAGGCTAGCAGAGATCATTGAGGAAGCGAGAGGGCAGGCTAGCAGAGATCATTGAAGAAGCGAGAGGGCAGGCTAGCAAAGATCATTGAGGAAGCGAGTGGGCAGGCTAGCAATGATCCTTGAGGAAGCGAGAGGGCAGGCTAGCAGAGATCATTGAGGAAGCGAGGGGCAGACTAGCAGTGATTATTGAGGAATCGAGGGAAGGGTAGCAGCGAAAATTTCCATTTTTCCAGACATGGATGGCAAACGTAAAGCCCGTACCTTCGGCCCGGGCTACTGTATCCGGATACAAGACCTGATGGCTCCAGCTGCTCTAATGGCCTCCCTGCTCGGGTCTATGATCATCGTCATCGTCTTCCTCATCAGAAGTCCGTCTTCAAAAACCTGAAATTGATGCGTGACGACGGCATCTTGATAACTTATTCCTATCGACATTTTTTTGTCTCCGTGCAATTTGATAAATTATTCGTATTTTGGGTGTTCGAAAAATTGTTATCGACATTGGGCAGGCTAGCAGAAATTTTTGCGGAAGGTTAGAAATTTTTGGCTACTTTTAAGATCAAATAATGCGACAATAGACGTTGTAAAAATCTATATTCTAAATATGCAAATTCGGTATCCTACATCTAAACCTTTCAGCTGACCCTCTTTTGTCGGCTTTCCCCCTCCCAAACCCGCACCTGGCCCCCGGCCAACTGTAGCCATTTAGGGGGGTAGAAGTCATCTAGGATGCTGGCCTAGGGAGGGGCCATTGTCTCCATGGATCGCATCTAGGCAACGTCGCCCTGGCAGGGGAATGGACACACAAATCGACACACAGACCGACAGAGACGAACGACCAGCTGACCCCTACGCACCAATACTATTTACCGAAACCTACTTGATCCGATTCTAAATTGTGCCTAGCTACCATAATCCGCGATCAGCTTCGAGATGTCGGCAATAATGTCTGCATCGACGCCGTATAGAGGAAATGTAGGCTACGGTGGATTTGAAGAGGCGGAGAGAGAGTGAGAGAGACAACGAGAGGGTGAAAGTGAGAGGGAGAACAAGAGAGAGAGAGAGAGAGGGAGAGCGGAGAGAGATAGGGAGGGAGAAAGAGGGGGGGGAAGAGGGGGGGGGGGGGGGGGGGGGGGGGGGGGGGGGGGGGGGGGGGGGGGGGGAGAGAGAGGGGGAGGGGGGGGGGGGGGGGGGGGGGGGGGGGGGGGGGGGGGGGGGGGGGGGGGGGGGGGGGGGGGGGGGGGGGGGGGGAGAGGGGGGGGGGGGGGGGGGGGGGGGTTTTTTTTTAAAAATCAAGACGACCTTGAAATGGAATCCTGACTTCTAGGCACCTATCGATTTTCTTTTTTACTGTCGCAGTACCTTTAAAAAATTTTGCAAATTTGCAGCGAGAGGTCATCTCGATCCACGTTGGCCAAGCTGGCGTGCAAATCGGCAATGCCTGCTGGGAGTTGTATTGCCTGGAGCATGGTATTCAGCCGGGTATGATAATTAAGCTAATTAATCAATTAAGTTCCCGGGATTGCCCCAAAAATATGCTAATTGTCAGCCCGTTTAAGATGGCACGATGATCGATGATGTGGACGGGCAGGATGAGGTCGAATCGTTCGGAACGTTTTTCGCCGAAACTGGTGAGTGGAATATTCAGATATGACTATTAGATTTCGATTAGCCTAATTCCTCTCACGGAATTCCTAATTTCCATCTAACGACTTCTAAAATATTTGTTTTGTTTGCTTAAATTTTAAATCAAGTGAATTTAGGTGGTCTACAAAATTATACATACAAATCCGACTTTTGCAGAGCCAAGTTTTTTTCTGTTAATCCTCTTAATCCAAATCCTATTAATGTTTCGAATTATGATTTATTTTACTTTCGAAAATTCATAAAATAGATTATTAATTCAACCCGTTAAAATCCAGGTGCCAAAGAATCCTACGCCTAAAGAAAAATCAATATTTCAGCCGGCGGGAAACACGTGCCCCGCGCCCTATTCGTCGACCTCGAGCCTACAGTAGTCGGTAAGGCGTTTTGTAGTTATTTAAATTGGCATTTATTGAATATTTTAATAAGCCAAAAAACAGCTTCATTAACATACTTTCATCTAGTTTTACGAATTTAAGGACATTTAAATCTGAGCGAGACCTCAAAAATTAACAACTTTTCAAATTAGACTAATTAAAATTTTTAGATGAAGTCCGCACCGGAACCTATCGTACCCTATTCCATCCCGAACAGTTGTTGAGCGGAAAAGAGGACGCGGCAAATTGCTACGCGAGAGGACGATATACGATCGGGAGGGAGATGATAGATGTAATTTTTAAGATTTTATGTTATTCTGCAAGTTTTGGCTTAGGGCTTAGGCTTGGCTGTGGCTTCGGCTTCGGTTCCGGCTTATTCTTAGGCTTAGGTTTAGTCTTCGGTTTGGGTTTAGGCTTGGACTTGTTCAATTTATGCAAATCAATATTTCCAGGTGGTGATGGACCGGCTCAAACGATTGGCCGAAAATTGCAGTGGACTTCAGGGATTCCTGGTTTTTCATAGTTTTGGCGGAGGTACTGTAATTTTGGCACTTTTCAATTTATTATTTTTGATTTAAATAATTTAATGTTTAAATTATTAAGGCACTGGCTCGGGATTCCTATCTCTACTTATGGAAAGACTTTCGATGGAATATGGCAAGAAGCCAAAATTGGAATTTGCCATCTACCCTGCACCTCAGGTAATGACAGGTCTCTCTCTCGCACTCTCTCTCTCGCTCTCTCCCTCTCGCTCTCTCTCTCGCTCTCTCTCTCGATCCTGTTCTCTCGCTCTCTCTTTCTCTCTCGATCTCTGGATCTCTCTTTTTCTCATTCTCTCTAACTCTCTTTCTATCTCTCTCTCTCTCTGCCTCTCTCGCTCTTTGTCTCTATCTCTCTCTAACTCTCGCTCTTTTTCTGTCTCACTCGAGCTCTCTCTCTCTCTCTCTCTCTCTCTCTCTACATATCTTCTTCAGGTATCCACATCAATGGTCGAGCCCTACAACTCGATCCTAATGACGCATACTACGCTGGAATACTCTGACTGCACATTTATGGTGGACAACGAGGCGATTTACGATATTTGCAGAAGGAATTTGGATTTGGCTAGGTAACTAATCAAATCATATTTTTTAAACATTTTTTCATGAAGGACTTATACGGAAAAAATATTGAAAACCACATTTTCAGGCCGACCTACACCAATTTGAATCGTCTTATCGCTCAAATCGTCTCGTCCATCACCGCATCACTCCGCTTTGACGGCGCCTTGAACGTTGACCTCACCGAGTTTCAGACGAATTTGGTAAAGCCAGGATTACGGTAGCTAGGGCAACGTTTAGGTCCCCTACCCGCGCATCCATTTTCCGTTGGTGACCTATGCACCGCTGGTGTCTGCGGAGAGGGCTTTTCATGAACAGGTAAGGATACTGTGGCTGAGCGCAAAATAATTGAACTTACAATAATGGATAACATACCACGAAACCTAAACATAAATAAATACAATCAAAGTAAAAAACTGATTTAGAATACGGTAGCTGATATGACAAATGCGTGCTTCGAGCCGGGACATCAGATGGTGAAGTGCGATCCGAGGAGGGGGAAATATATGGTAGGAGAGAGGGAGAGAGAGAGCGCGAGAGACAGAAAGAGAGAGAGAGAGAGAGAGAGAGAGAGAGAGGGAAAGAGAGCGCGTGAGAGAGCGGGAGCGCGAGCGGGAGCGAGAGCGCGAGAGGGAGAGTGAGATCAAGAGAAAGAAGGATAGACAAAATTTACAAGTCCATTTTAGGCCGTTTGTCTGCTGTATCGAGGCGACATCGTCCCAAAAGACATCAATTCGGCAATCTCGGCCGTCAAGACAAAGCGAACCGTGCAGTTTGTCGAGTGGTGAGCAAACTTATATATTAGTCCCAAAAGTGTACTCTATAAAAGATAGAGATTACGGTAAACGTACACTGTATGCTCTCGTATTCCAGGTGCCCTACCGGCTTCAAGGTTGGGATCAACTATCAGCCTCCCACCGTGGTTCCGGGCGGGGATCTGGGAAAGCAGACGAGATCGGTGGGTTTGTTAGACGAAAGCGTAGGCCTAGGCTTATGTTTAGGCTTAGGCGTACTAAGCTTAGGCTTGGGCTTGACGTAGGCTTAGCCTTAGGTTTTTTGTTTAGCCTTTGCTCTTTCTCCCTCTTATACATATTTCTACTTTTTATACCTCTTTCTAGGTATGCATGATCTCAAACACGACCGCCATCGCCGAAGCCTGGGCCCGACTTGATCACAAATTCGATTTGATGTACGCAAAGCGGGCCTTCGTGCATTGGTATGTTGGCGAAGGTACTGTAGAACCTGGTTACTGCAATGTTACCAAATTTTAGGGATGGAAGAGGGTGAATTTTCGGAAGCACGCGAAGACATGGCCGCCCTCGAGAAGGACTATGAAGAGATTGGGGAGGATGAGTATAGGTAAGAATTTGCATCTCTCTCTTTCTTCTTTCCCTCTCTCTTTCTAGCTCTCTCGCTCTCTCCCTCTCTCTCATTCTCTCTCTCTCTCATTCTCCCCCCCCCTCTCTCTCTATCTTCCTCTCCCTCACCATCTATCTCTCGTACTCTCTCTCGCACTCTAATTCTCTCTCGTTCTCGCTTCCTCTCTCACTCTCTCTCTCCCTAGCGCTCTCTCTCGCTATAACTCTTTCTGTCTCTATTTGATGAAAATAATTGATTTTCAGAGAGGAGGACGACAGCTACTACACCAATTCTCGGGCCCACACACGCGGCGAATAACTTCCTATTTTACATAAATTATTTCCTTTTTCAATTTATCCAAAACACAGCAAATGAAAATACACCCGTAATTGACCGTTGTATATCGGAACTGGGATCATCGGCAAGAAACAAACGCAAAAGCTACAGTAGTCAATAAAAAGCACAAAGTACGTTACACCCCTAAAGACACGTGCTCGTCCACCGGTGCTGCAGACATTCCTTGCACACCAATTGGCAGCACCACACGAATTTACAGTCGCATTTTGCGGTGATCACCTCGTGGGTAACCTGGAATGGTTGGTTTCTCTCTCCCTCTTTCTCTCTCTATCTCTCGCTCTCTCTCAGAAAAACCTACATTATATCCTCTTCCGCAACACAACGAATTACAGTCGCCCTGGGCATGCGTTTCATTCCGCCAGCCGCAGATACGATTCGAGGCCGTTCGTCTAAAAAAACTAGCTTGGGCTTGAGCTTGGCATAGGCTTGGCTTAGGCTAGGATAGGCTTATGTTAGTAGGGGTTGTACGTGGGCTTAGGCTTAGCTTAGGTTAGGCTTGGGTTTAGGCTTACGCTGCGCAGTGGTCCGGAGATTGCTCAAAGGCCAGCAGATCGGCATTTTTCACTTTTCCCTGGCCGGCCACCGTTTTGGTTCGATGGTACCTGAATTTGATATGAATTTTAAACAGAAAGAGAGAGACCGAGAGACAGAGAGTGAGAGAGAGAGCAAGCGAGAGGGAGAGAGGGAAAGAGAGCTACAGCGAGAAGGAGAAAGAGAGAGAGAGAGAGAGAGGGGGAGAGAGAGAGAGAGAGAGAGAGAGACAGAGAGGGAGCGAGAGAGAGTGAGAGAGAGAAAGAGAGAAACTCAACTCACTTATCAATAAGAAGCACGGCCACCGTATCCAAATCGGCCGTCCGTTTCCAGCATGTTTTTTGCTGACACGACCCGCTGACTCCGTGGCACTTGCACGATTGAAGAACGGTCTTCTTTATCGCCTAAAAAGTACAGAATACACATCTCTATTTACTTATGTCGATTTTAAGTCCTAGCCTCAACTTTTTTGACCCACCAATCTCCCGGCCTTCAAATTGTGCTTCTCAGCCACTTTTGCCGGGTTTAGAGATGCTAAGTCACGACCACCACGCCGGTCTCGGCCGTCAGAATCTCTAAAAATACAAGGATAAGGTTATACTTAAAATTACGTTACGAATTTAATCGTTAAAATTGAAATAAGTTACTTATAGGTGGCGCCACGGCTGAACAGTCGTCGCGTCGCCGCAAGTCCATACTAAAATTAATTTTTATCGTATTGTATAACAAGATTGGAAAAACTAGAGGCAGCATTTTATAGCCCGAAAAATTCTCTACAAAATCCACATTTTAAAAATTCGAAAAAAATGACTTTATCAGAAAAATTTGCTTGCCAACTTTTTGCACTTTTTTAACATTTAGTCTTTTTCTCTAACGTTGTAGCCAACTTGTATATTTCTTAAAACCACACCCTGTTCAGAATTTTTTGCACTATCGAATGAGCTATATCTTGTCGCTTAATGTCCATTTTTAGTCCCTAAAACTACCTGTACTCCATAGCTGCACCCGCTCCACTCCCACGCTTTTTCGCCGGGCGTCGGCGTGCAAGCGCACTCGGAGAGCCAGCCCTGAAAAAATCGTGATTGACAGAGACTACACTACACTACAAACTACAGGCTACAAAGTGCACACAGCTACCTAGCTACAAACTCTAAACTACAAAATTCACCTGTAGACAAGCGGTCGCGATTCCCCAGGCGGCTCCGGCAGATGATAGGGCCCAGACTAGGGCGGATTCACGGTGTGCTAAAGAATTTAGGATGTGCGCTCTCTCCCTCTCTCTCTCTCTCTCTCTCGCTCTCTTTCTCTCTCGCTCTCTCTCTCTCTCTCTCTCTCTCTCTCTCTCTCTCTCGGTCTCTCTTTCTCTCGGTTTCTCGTCCACTCTCTCTCTCTGCCGCTCTCTCTCACTTTCTCTCTATCCTCTCTCCCTCTCTGCTCTTTCACTCCCTCGCTCTCTCTCCCTCTCACCATGTTTCAACAACGGCGGATCGAGCAGCGGATGCCCTATCCTTGAACAATCCCAAGCATGAAATCGCAGCTTGTCCTCACAGATCCCGAGCGCGTCCTGCAAATCCAGCGTTTTTCCGGTACCCATTCGCTACGTTCTTCAACAAGACAAGGGTCTCACCTTAATACCCTCATATGCTGCGACAGCAAGCGCTGGCTGGGATCGGCAAAGTATTTGAGCATGCCGGAAGCCGCGCGAATGGAGGAGGGAAGGCGGACAACCCTGGAAGGTTATAGCTGTAAGGACACCAGTGTTGAGCAACATCGACAATTGGCAAAAAGCCAACAAGTGACGCTACGAGAAATAAGGATAAGTAGGCCTAGCTTTTGACTTACTAATAGGCTTAGGCTTAGGCTTCGGCTTGAGCTTAGGCATAGTTAGACTTCGGGTTAGGCTTCGGCTTAGACTTAAGTTTAGGGTTAGACTTAGGCGTAGGCTTAGGCTTAGGCTCCGGCTTAGGTTAGACTTAGAAAGCTTAGACTTAAACTTCGGCTTAGGTTAGGTTCAGGTTTCGGCTTTGGTGGCTTAGGCTTAGACTCCGGCTTGGGTTAGGCTGAAGTCTAGGCTTAGCTTTTAGATTTAGGCTTAACTTAGGCTCAGGCTTAGGTAACGTCACTATCCCTTTAAAACCCTTATTCCCTAACCTATGCCCATTTGCCGGGGGCTGAAACCCCGAACGCCAGGCTGAGTCGAGGGAATTGTGGCTAGTATGCAAAGGGTGCAATCTCAGCCCAATGTTTCCAATCGAGCTGTCACCTACAATGGGAGGGAATGGACGAAAAAGAGGGGGGAAGGAGGAATGAAACGGAATCGGGACAAGGCAACGCCGGGCCAGCAACAGATTGCCCCCCTCCATTCAGACGGGATCAAATGGTTGACACGTTACCGTATGAAAAAGTGTTGAAAGAGGGGGAAGAGGAAAGGGTAAATGGATTTTGATAGAAATGGATTTTCTGCCTCAAGCTTAGGCTTGGGCTTCGCTTAGGCTTGGGCTTACTTGTTAGATTTATCCGTGCATAAACAAGCATAGGCGTCACCTAGGCTGATGCATCGGCTTAGGCTTAGGTTTGGGCTTAGGCTTAAGGTTAGGTATAGGCTTAGCTTCGCTTAGCTTCGCTGAGCTTCGCTTAGCTTCGCTTAGCTTCGCCTGGCTTCGCTTAGCTTTGCTTAGCTTCGCTTAGGCTTCGGCTCAGGCTTCGGTTAGGCCTAGGCTTCGCTTAGACTTTGGCTTAGGCTAAGGTTAGGCTTAGGCTTAGGTTCGCTTAGGCTTCGGCTTAGGTTATAAGCTTGTGCCGACAAGATTATAAGATTACCTGCAGCATCCGAACCGGAGGGGCGGGTGGTGTAGAGCTGAAGCCGGCACCGAATTCTTGGGCCCAAGCACCAGTGATGAAAAGAAATAGCAAAAAACATGCTTTTTTCGAGCTTATCCTTTGACGGTTGAAGTGATGACCAATTCTGTCGGATTTCAAACCTTAAAAAATGTTAAAAAATGGTTTTATTCGGGAACCTGGGGGCGGGCGTTTTTCCGGATCTTCATCTACCGGGACATCTTGAGAATGACTGCATTCCGGCTCGTCATCCATCATCTGGAAGATATACGGTAGTATTAGACTAATAGTAATAGAATAATAGTAATAGAATAGGAGTAATAGTAATAGACTAAAAATAAAACTTATTATAGCGCTTAAGCTTCCATTGAACGCAAAACTCAGTTGAGAACCAAAGGAAAGAGAACAAAAAACAAATACAACTAGAAAAACTGAGCAAAAAGACTAGAAAGAGGGAAATCCATAACACAAAACTTTAAAAAGAAATAATCCCCTAAAATCCGACCAACTACCGTATCCCAGCCAGTTTCGTAATAGCCAGAGAGTACGGTATTGTCTTGGGAATGAAGGAGGGTGATCCGATTGGGAGGGGAGGAGCGCCGAAACTGGTCTCTACGATCATCAAAGGAGGGGAGGAGGAGGATCGACCGTCTCTGTCTCACTCTCTCTCTCTCTCTCCCTCCCTCTCTCGCTCTCTCTCTCTTCCAATAGCTGGCCATTACCCGTCCTCGTTGACTCAGAAATACGGGCCATTGGAAGAATGAAACATACAAAAGATGCCAGATGGTCGATGCCAAAAAATTGTGAATATGGAGGAGAGAGAGAGAGAGAGAGAGAGAGAGAGAGAGAGCGAGAGAGAGGAGAGAGCGAGAGAGTTAGCGAGAAAGAGAGAGCGAGAGAGAGGTAGAGAGCCAGAAAGAGAGAGTGAGAGCGAGAGAGGGAGGGCGAGAGAGAGAGACCGATGCGTTCGCTGTGATCAACGTCGGAAAAATGGTCAAATAATCTCTGACAGCCTGCGCCCTATCCCTCCAGTTTCTCAAAGAAACCCTGCTAGCCTGCCGTGAGCTTCTCAATCCCTCAAATAATCTCAGCTAGCCTACCCTGATCTGTTCATCGCTGCTAGCTTGCCTGTATCCCTCCAGTTCCTTGCAAATCTTTGCTAACCTGCCCCAATCCTTTCGATCCCTCAAAGAAGCTCAGCTAGCCTGCCTTCGACCTTCCAATTTCTCAAAAGATCTCTGCTAGCCCTCCTCAAATCCCTGCAATTCCCTCAAAGAATCGCTGCTACCCTCCCTCCTCAATCCCAAAATTTTATGCCATTTTTTGCCAAGACAATGCTCGCAGAATTGAACCCTTCGCCGGCAGGTTGAAGGGGGAGAAGAGCGCGGTGTTTGTGTTTGGTTGGGGGTGGGTAATTGTCGGCCTTCCCTTTATGGACCAATAAAGCCAAATTCGCGCGCAGAGCCATGCAAAGAGTCTCCTCCTCATCTTGCCCCGCCACTGACCGTAAACCCCGGCATTCGAAAGGGACTTGAAAATGAAGAAGAGGCATTGATGCTTTTTGTACTTTTAGGGGTATACGGTTGAAAGGGACTGGCAGGAGTGGAACTGGGATATGGTAATTGGGAAATATGGTATTACGAGTCAGTTTTAGGTTTCGCTTACAAGTTGTTAGACGTGGGCCCAGGCCTAGGCTTAGGCTTGGGTTAGATTAGGCTTAGGCTTCGCTTAGGCTCAGGTTTCGCTTACGCTTACACCTACGCCTAGCCTTAACCTGACTTGGCCTTAGGCTTGGACTTCACTTGGGCGTAGGCTTCGGCCTTGGATTCGGCTTTAGATTCCGCTTTGGATTTGGCTTAGGCTTAGGTTTAGACTTAGCCTGCCTTCGGGTGCGCTTAGGCTTAAGCTTGAGTTTAGGCATGGACTTAGGCTGAGGCTTTGTCCGGTTTAGACTTAGGTTTAGGGTAAGGCTTCGCTTACGCTTAGGCTTAGCCTGGCTTAGGGTTCGCTTAGGCTTAGCTTAGGCTTAGCGTAGGTTTCGCGTAGGGTTAAGCCTACAGTCGCTAAACTTAGGCTTAGCCTTATCCTGGCTTAGGCTTAGGATTGAACTTCGCTTAGGCGTAGGCCTCGGGTTAGGCTTAGGCACAGGCTTAGGCTTAGGTTAAGCTTAGGCTTGGGCTTACTGGATACCCACTGCCTTTTCCCCTCCTTACAGTCTGTTCTGTGTATCCTTCTTTTCCTTTCTTCACCCCCCCGAATCCCGAAATGTTTGCCATGGGGTTGTGCTCTCAGGAAGAAGCAAGAAGAACTCAGAGGGCATAGAGGGCCCTTCTCTTCTCTTCTCTATCCTCCCCCCTATTCCGATCTACAACCATTTCCAATCCCCCCCAATACACTTCGACCCCCCGCATTTTCCAATATTGTACTATGAACCTCTATTCTACACTACCGTAATTCTTGCGACACAACAAATCAAATAAAATGCTTCTTTCTCTGTTTTTGCTATACCTTGCCCACCTCTCAGGGATCGATGCCAGTAAGCGGGAAAGTGATTTGTACAGGTAAAAGTTCGGAAATTTAAAAATCTTTCAGAAACCTTAAATTCAGAAATATCGTGAAAATTAGTTTAACTTTTTAAAGGTTTAAAATAAAATATGCGAAACTTAAAAATGGCAACGCTAAATTTTGGCGCTTTTTGGTTTGCTCGTATTAATACATTTTGGCATTTTTAAACATGTTTAACTTCATTTTAGAGCGCTTCAAGCCAAATACAACTACCTGGTGCGACCAGTTCGAGTTCCGCAAAATCCTCTGAACGTTTCGATGAAGGTGTTTCTGCAGCAGATCATCGACGTCAACGAGAAGGACCAGCTGATCGAGCTGAATGCATGGTTGCAATTTGTTGGTTTTTGGAGTTTCTCAATTGTCTCTGCTAGCCTCCCTCGCTTCCTAAACGATCTCTGCTAGCCTGCCCTCGCTTCCTCAATAATCTCTGCTAGCCTACCCACGCTTCCTCAAAGATCTCTGCTAGCCTGCCCTCGCTTCCTCAATGATTTCTGCTAGTCTGCCTTTGCTTCTTCAATCATCTCCGCCAGCCTGCCCTGGCTTCTTCAATGATTTCTGCTAGCTTCCCCTCTCTTCCTCAATAATCTTTGCTAGCATTACCGGATGTCACAGTCTCTTTAACGCAATTTACTCTAGAAATGGAAAGACTACAGACTTCGATGGAGCCCCAGTCGTTTTGACAATATCACTTCGGTGCGTTTTGCGACTAGCGAGGATGGCGGGCCACTCTGGAGACCGGATGTATTGCTTTATAATAGGTATGCCATTAATAACACTGTAGTTTAAACACTATCTAGCGCCGCCGATCAGTTCGACTCGATGTTTATGAGCAACATGGTGGTGAGCAACACCGGGGAGGTCCAATGGGTACCGCCTGGAATCTTCAAGGCTACCTGCAAGGTGTGTTTTGCTGATATTTAAACCGACCGTAGGCGGTCGTACTCTGCCGTATCCCAGCGCAACCTAGCGACATTTTGGATACATTCTCGTATTACGTTGTAACTTCGCTTCGACTTCAGAACTCTTGTATGCAGCGTACACAGCAGCGAAAACCGTAGGTTTGCGTACTCTAGCGTACTCTAGCGGATTTGAACGTGCTCCACCGTATCCTAGCGAAGCTTGCATGACCGTATCGTAGCGTATACCAAGCTCCATCGCGGTGACATAGCTATTGTAACGTATTCTATCGTATCCTAGCGTAGTCACAGACTATCGTCTGGTATGAAGCTTTACGCTATTGGAACGAACCCTATTGTAGCTGGCCTGCATTTTCACCCGATAGCGTCTCTTTGCGTAGTATCATGGAACGTCAGCATAAAGCCGTGTACACTACCGTACCACTATAGTGGCCAAGCGTATCCTAACGTAACCTACCGTACCTTTCAGATCGACATAACGTGGTTCCCGTTCGATTCCCAAACGTGTTTCATGAAATTCGGCTCCTGGTCCCACCACGGCAATTCCATAGATTTGCTGATCGATACGACGGATTCAGGTGCGGTAGCGTGGTCTGAATACCGAATATCGTACAGGTGAATCCATCGACACTTCGACGTACGTCAGCAACGGCGAATGGCTGCTTGTGGGTATGGTGAAAGTGTACGTAGCGTAGTGTCGTACTTTAGCGTACTAATATTGTGTAGCGTAGTGTTATTCTCTATGGTACTGACGTATTGAAAAATACTGTAGTGTAGCGTAGCGTCGTACTGCAACGTACTGACATCGTGTAAAGTAGTATCATTCTGTAGCTTACTGACGTAGCATCAGATAATGACTTACTATCCATGGATAGTCACGAATTTCAGACACACCCGCAATCCGGGAGACGATGTACTACGCGTGTTGCGACGAACCGTACCCAACCATCAAGTTTTATCTGTACATTAAGGTATGGTATACCTATCCTGCTTACCTATATCTATCCTCTACCGTACTGGCTACTTTCCAGAGGCGAACGCTGTTCTATGCTTTCAACCTGATCATCCCCTCGCTGCTCATCTCCATGATGACGTTGATGTGTTTCTGCTTGCCCGCCCACGATATGGCCGAGAAGATTGGATATCGTAAGCGAAGCTTCGCTTAGGTTGCTCAGACTTAGGCTTAGACTTAGGCTTAAGCCGAGGCTCAGACTAAGGCTTATGCTTGGGTTTAGGTAAAGATCGGGCTGAGATTTAGGCGTGGACAGGCTTAGACAGGCTTAGATAGGCTTAGGCTTAGGCGTAAGCTTAAGCTTAGGCTTAGGTTTGGACTAAGGTCAGGCCTGGGCTTAGGCTTAGGCTTAAGCTTGGGCTTCTTAACTTTACGCGTAGGCTTAGGCTGGCTAAGGATCCACGATCTACCTTCTAGAAACGACCATCCTGCTCTCGGTCTGCTTCTTCTTGACGGTACTCTCCGAGATGACACCAAATACCTCCGAAGCCCTACCGTTAATAGGTGCGTTTTGGAAGGCTTTTTTTCTGGCGAACGAGCGGTGGAAATTTAGGATTAAAAATACGACTTAAGGTATATTTTTCTCAACCGTGACTGTGATTCTCTCGTGCTCGACGGCGTTTACGATTACGGTACTGTCGCTGCGGTATCGGCAGCCGGCAAATCATCAGATGACCAGCGGGGTGAGTATCTCTCTCACTCTCTCTTTTTCTCCATCTCTCTTTCTCTCGCTTCAGCAAGTTTTTCAGATGCGAAAGCTGTTCCTCGAGTGGTTACCTTGGCTCTTGATGATGTACCGCCCCGGCCATCGATTCAAATGCGGTCACTCCGAACCAGACGACGTCTTGAAGGAGGTCGAGGAGGTGAGTATTTGGAATCTTTTAAATACTTTTCAGGGCACCTCCGAGCCGGACCGCACCTCGCAGACCATCACCGAGCCGGGCACGTCGTTCGAGCAGCCTGAAACGATATTGGATGTCCTCTGTGATGTTCCAACGGAAAAACTGTTGTTGGAACGGAAGGTAGGTAGGAGAACTTAAGGGTACCTTAAAGGGGCTCAGAAGCCAAAATTCGTTGCGTGCGGGGACTGAACCAATGATCCGAAACGTAAGGGTCACTGCCGAGAAGTACCAGAAAAGTGATTTGATTGCGAAAAAAACGTAAAACATTTGAGTAAAACCAAAAACTTCTTGGGGCGAAAACGAAATTTTGAGTGCGCGGCGATTACATGTCGTAATGCCCTGTAAGGCACCCAATTCTCTCGATCGCGGTGATTCTAAGACCAATTTTCGTAATTAAAACGTCTAGAATGATAAAAAACCGATGAGGATTGCAGAATGGCTTCAGAATTTTTAACTTCAGTCTTTTTCACGTCCAGACGAGGGCAAAAGATCATGCGTTGGGTTGCGGCCGCATCTGGCTACTTGCCAGGGATCAACGCTAATGGGCGTGGACCAGATTTCTGAGCCCCTTTAAAGGAATCATGGCGAGTCAAAAAAAAATCAAAAACTTGGAAAGATGTTCAAAATTAGGATTTTTGCAACCTTTTTAAAATGCTGTATGCGTTTAAATACCACCCTGTGCTTGCCGGTCCCTTTAAAACTCATACTACCCTCTCCAGGTCGGCGACGGTATCTTCTACACGCCAAACCGACAGGCGTCTATCGAATCTCGACGCAGCGTGCAGTTGGAGAAGTATCTGAAGAAATGCGTCGAGACGAGCAGCGAACAGCGTAAGGTCATTAGTACAACTATAGAATATCGATTTTTGCAGGAAGCGAGGAGGGGGATTACGCTATCAAAGTCTACGAGTATTTCGCTGCCATTAATGCGCAGCTGAAGCGGATACGGGGCGAGATTGAGAAGAATAGTCAGCTGCAGGAAGTGATGGTATGTAGAGTAGGCTTAGTTTAGGATCAGGCTTAGCCTGGCTTAGGCTTCACTTACGCCTAGGCTTAGGCATAGGCTTTTGACTCAGGTTTAGGATTATGTTGTAGGCTTAGGCTTCGCTTAGGGTTAAGCTCAGGGCTGGGCTTGGGCTTACGCTTAGACTGGCTTAGGTTCAAATTACGCTTAGGCCTCGACTTAAGCTCAGCATAGACATAGGCTTAGGATTAGACCTAGACTTCGGTAGGCTTAGGCTTAGGTTTAGGCTTAGACTTAGGCTAAGGTTTGGGGTTTTCTATAACACTGTACTTTCAGGAGGAATGGAAATTTGCTGCCATGTGCCTCGATCGTCTCTGCTTAGTGGTGTTCTCCTCCTTCCTGTGCACATCAATCTTCGTCATCTTCTACTCAGCCCCCTATCTCAATGCCTAAAAACGGGAGAGAGAGAGAGAGGGAGAGAGAGAGAGAGAAAGAGAGGCGCTTGCCTGGATTTCCTAATAAATATTTTTTGGTGGCTATGGTGGTGGTGGCGAAAGGGCCCGTTTTGGGTCTTAAGAAAGGGGCCAAGTGGCTGGCCTACGTCGCCCCGAGCAATAAGTTTATCTAGGAGAGGCGCTGCGGAAAAAAGGAGCAATCTGAAAGGGACTCAAGTCTGTTGCCAAATAGGTGGGATTTGGAAATAAATGGAGTGAGAGAGAGAAAGCGAAAGACAGAGCGCGAGAGAGAGAGAGAGAGAGAGAGAAAGAGAAAGCAAGAGAAAGAGGGACAGAGAGAGCTAGTTACAGAGAAATAGACAGGGAAATCGCGATAGACTTGACGCAAGCTAGCAGATATACTTTGCGGAAATCCGATTTTAAAGCGCTTCGAAATCGAACAGCCTATTTCTCTCCAAAGAAACATTTCAAAGCTCCGAAAGAACGCCAGCAGTCCATCAAAACGTGCGGATTATGGGCGCAGCCCATCATCCTCTATCTAAACCCATCATGGCTTTTGCATTTTCTCTCTACCTCTCTCTCTCTCCCTCTCGCTCTCTCTCTCTCTCTCTCTATCTCTCCCACCCAAAATAGGGCCCTAGGGTCTATTGTGATGCCTGAAAAGGATGGGCCCTTCACTTTTTTTCAAAACCTTCTTTGGGAGGTTTGATCGAAGGGCGTGGCTGTCCCCTCCAAAATCCACGGCAACGTCACAGCAGTCTGCGAATCCCGTTTTGCCTTAGGGCATATTCCGCTAAAAGTTCAGCTACGCACAAATGAAGTTGCTCTTGACGTTATTGCTGGTTGGGTTGAATCTGGTGGATGCAGAGGAAGGCGGTGGGTATTAGGCTTAGGCTTAGGCATGGCTTAGGCGTAGTCTTACGCTTGGGCGTATGCCATGCTTAGGCTGAGGCTTAGGCTTAGGATTAGGCTTAGGGTTTAGGCTTAGGCTTTAGGCTTAGGTTTAGGCTTGAACCAGGCTTAGGCCAGGCTTAGGCCTAGGCGTATACTTAGGCTTAGGCTTTCCACTCTTCATTTCAGAAGTATGCGCCCTGGAGTATAACGCCCTCTCCCACTGCCTCCACGAAGCTCAGAGCGGCTCGGATTGTCCTGCCGGCTGGACGCTGTTCCCTAAAACACGCTCCTGCTATTTCATGGTGAGCTGCCTCATTAATAGCGACTTTTTCTAAGGAATTTCTGCTCGTTTGCCCTGCTGGACCTGATTAATTTTTATGTTTAGCTTCCCGACGGCTCCTACAGTTTCATGGGTGCCGAAGAAGCTTGTCAACAATACGGTGCCCACCTCGCCTCGATTCACTCGAATACCGAGAATCGCTTTGCATCTAGTAAGTTCCAGAAGAATCTCTGCTAGCCTGCCCTCGATTACTCAAAGATCTCTGCTAGTCTGCCCTCGTTTCCTCAATGATCTCTGCTAGCCTGCCCTCGCTTTCCCAAAGATCTTTGCTAGCCTGCCCCAATGTTGCCCTTTCAGTGCTGATGGAAATCCCATATCTGAAGAGTTGGCAGGATTTGGCGTGGATCGGGCTGAAAATCGACAATATGGTTCGTTAAGTGCAATTATGCAAATTAGTTATTTATATAAATCTTCAGCTTAAGCAAATGTCGCAAATTTAGAACATGTCGTGGACCGACGGCTCGGTGCTGTACTACCAAAACTTCCTCGACGGCGAGCCGAACCCGGGCCCCGGGATTTATGGAGTTATGGTAATTTAATAAGCGGTTTTAAGGCATTTTTAGCATAGATACTAATTTAATGCGTTATTAGATAAATTCGGCTTAGCTTTGAGCAAATTGAATTTTCGAAATATCATGAAATTCCCAAAGAACCTCTGCAAGCCGACCTTTCAGATGTACGCCAACCCGATCCAGCACGACGCGCCGGAGACGCTGCGAAAATGGGATGATATCAAGGTTAATTTACGTTGAATTTCAATTAAATTTTTATAAAAGGCTTGATCGATCACTTGAGTAATTTTTAGCTGGAATTTGTCTTTAGGGCTTCACCACCCTCCGCAGCGGTCTCTGCAAGAAGGTGCTCCCGAAAATTTGAAGCTTGGCGAGTAGTTGGCGAAAAAAATTACTTTTTGCAATAAAGCTACGTATGTATTTCGAGAGTTTTTAAACTATCCTACATGGTATAATCACACAGTCGAAAGTGCCCAAGCTGCCTTGGAAGTTCCACGATCCGGGAACATCGTTCTCTCGCTATCCAGCCTCACAGCAGCCTCACAACACGGTCCGGAACTCTTCTGTCGGATTCCCAGACTACCCGCTTCGTTTGTGGTGCAGTGCGGGGCTATGGCAGTCCGATAATGCAAGGCAATATACTATGGCAATATCAAGGGTATCCCAAAAAAACGAACCATCTGGCATTTTGTCGTGTTACATTAAATCAGCCCCAAATTTGGACCGGAGGTGTATCAGGCTCTAAATAACAACAATCCTGACTTATAGCCTCGTAGCTATAGTAGTTCTCGAGTTATAACAAAACAAACTGGATTTTCGATTTTTCATAGGGTTTTCGTGGGATTAGACCAGGCCCGTAAGGCGAGCCGCCCCCCCCCCCTCTTCGTTATAACTCGAGAACTATTATAGCTACGAGGCTATAAGTCAGGATTGTGGTTATTTAGGGTCTGATACACCTCTGTTCCAAATTTGGGGTTGATTGGATGTAACACGTCGAAACGCCAGAAGGTTCGTTTTTTTGGGACACCCTGTACACGGGGCCCCCATGGGGTAAAAAAGGAGTACGGGGTGGGGGTACAAAAGGAGTACGAGGTCGAGGTAAAAAGGGGGTACGAGGTGGGGGTACAAATGGGGAATTAATCATCCTCACAGGCGTCGTCGCACGGATTCAGCTCCGGGTTGCAAATTCAAAGCGTAGTGGCCGGTCAGGTTCTGGTTCTCTCGTTTTTGAGATACTGTCAAGGAAAAATTCCCAAATGGTTTCAGTCAGCTGGCTCCACCTATTTCCAAGCGATCTCGGCTAGCCTGGCATTTCTCAGGGCATTTCTGCTAGCCTACCCCATCCTGTAAGGACGTTACAGTGGTCTAAAGTGTCTTATGATAGAACTAGCATGTTTGCCTGTGCGGCCGTAGCGAGACAGCTCTTCCTGGAGCATCTCTGCTAGCCTGCCCTTTCCTAGAGAATCTCTGCTAACTGGTTCTTTCCTAAATGATCTCTGCTAGCCTGTCATTTCCTGAAGAATCTTTGCCAGAAAACCCTTTACTAAAGAATCTCTGCTAGTCTCCCCCTTTCCAAAGAACCTCTGCGTGCCTGCTACCAGTGTCCCGAGTCGTTAATAAAGGTACACTCCGCGCTCGTCAAAAAAGCCCAGGTTGGCGGCAAGAAATCGGCTGACCGGCGGACGCGGCCTCCGGTCCTTCATATCCCTTCGCCCCCTCCCCCCTCTCGTCTCTCCCATGGCCGATTGGTCCAAACGCTTGCCCCAGGCGAGCGCCCCGGGTTCGGTTTTGCCCGACTTTTAACACCTACCGTAACCCGGCATTCTAAAACACACTTTGTTATTAGTATTGTTGTTATATATGTCATGACACACACATCTTAATGTTAGACCATTCAAACGAGAGCGGACTGTACGTTTTAGGTTTTGAAATACGCGTTTTTTTTGATCGCTCATAGTCGCCCTTCCGTAGCCAGAACCTGAGCCGGCTGAATTTTTTGGTGTGATAGATCTTGAAGGTTAAGTCTTGGCTAGTTCCCATCCAAATTTGAACATCGTCATTCAAGTTTTCGCGGGAAAATACGACGCCGAGTACCTGCGTGCCGGCCCCTCATTTTCAGCAATCTTCTCGGCCAGTTTTTCCGAATTCATGTCAGTCAAAAGGAAAAGTGATAATACCATGTTGAAAGTTATTGTATGAGATATAAAATATGTCAATATGGACCTGCCTGTACTTCGAGTTTTTTTTAGAAAATCCGAAAAGTCTCGGTCAACGTACTTTCGGGCCACACTGTAGTCTGTGGCCCGCAAAAAACCATTCATATGCTTGTTCTCCGTACTCACCGCGTCTTCACCTACAGGTTTTTTCTGGGAACTGACGCGTTCAAAACCAAATTCGGTTTCGCTTTTTAGGCAGAGTATTATCATTTTCGCGTCGAGACTGCTTACCTAGCCACAAGTGGTGCTGGTTTAGCGATTTGCCCACCCCAAAGGAAGGTGCGAGGTTGACATCGATTGCCTTGGCGCACGCAATGATTTTGCAAGTTTTGACAGGGGTGGGGGGATGGGATGACTTGGCAGTTGTGAACTTTTGCGGCACCCTGCGACTATAGGTCTTTTGGCGCCTAGGGCCCCAACTGGCATTGGCAAAACGGTTTAGACAAAGGGATATCTCTACTGATCATATTACATCCAACATCCCCTTGGCTTAATCTTTGCGTTAGATTGTATTGCCTACAAAGCGTGGTTTTGCGTTACTTTTGTCTTCAACCACCCTCTTCTTTCTATACTTTCGAGAAGCGTTTGCCATAAAAACAAAAATTTCACAAAATTTATGTCGATTTAATTTTAACAATTTATCAATTATTAATTAATATAACAAAAAAAAACGAACATTTAATTAAAAAAAGGAATTGTTTTCACAGTCCAATACGGCTTTTCATATTCTTGCTCTCTTTTTTGTTCGCGATCAAATACGGACTGATTACCCTTAAAGCGTAATAATAAGATTTTTTGTATTTTCGCTTCGAACCGTTATTCTCTACATATTTCCGAAACTTGCCGATTGTTCAGAGGTTAGAATCGTCCAGACTATTGATTTTACGGTCCTGCGTAAGCTATCATCTTGATATGCCTGGGTTATGCATTTTCTAAAACTTTCAGTGAGTGATATGGTACATAAAATTAAATTTCGGTTTCTGATAGCGAGATTATCGAGATATGGGTAATATAAGGTATTAAACACTTGGGT